GCTGCCGCCACCGTCCCGAGGCAACAGAGGCACTGAGCACCTTCACTGTGAATCACGTAGCAATGCTCCTTAGAAAGTCTTGGCACTCACCATATTAATATGTAACTACATTAAATCATGCATTCATGTACAGTTATAAAGATCTGCTGTAGACGTTTTCTCCCTCAGAAGGAAAACCATTCCGCTCCGGTCCTCCAAGGAACGGCCTCCATCAGTGTTTGGAGGGAAGGAGGAAGCCTGTCGTCACCAGGGAAGGGGGGATAAGAATAAAACCCACTGACAAACGCAGGACACATCTCTGCATGGTGAGATAAGACTGAGGAAAGCCCAAACTGTACAGTAATATCAACACACAGAGGACAAGACATGATGAACCCAGACTGCCACTAAAATAAGTCCCGTAAACTCTGAGTTACAAGTGCCATGAGGACTGGAGAAGTATCAGTATGCATAGACCAGTATTTCAGTTCCCCAGATATCTACCCTTTCAGAGTCTGAGCTGCCAGGACCTTATTTTGCTCTCAGTGCAATCCGGATCAGTCCATCACCTTACACTGGTGTGAAGGAAGTTACAAGAGACATTGTAGAGTCTGGTTTTGGAAACACTACACAACATCAGCTGTTTTAAAAGCTGACTTCTGAGTTATAAAATACTTTCTTTATCCTGCAGTACTAGAATTTAAGCCCTTAAATCTTCCCTCTATGAAAGCAGATTGTCAATAGTTCTGACCAAACACAACCACAGGACCGCAGGACGCGGCAGCGGCAGCACCACGACACTATTGCCACTGTTGGAAGTGAAGAGAACTTGCACTGCAGCCTGGCAGCTGCCACTGACCAGGAGGAGTGCAGCCCTCAAGAGGAAGACAAAGATGTCAGCATTCAAAGTGATCGTTTCATGCAATGAACTCATTGCAGTTGTTGTTCCTGCAGTAAGAAGTGAAATCAGGTACCTATAAAAGCCAGGGTCAGGTTTCTCTCGCAGGGATCTGTGTGAATATCCCTTTTCTCAGCCACACAAAATTGCACCCTCCACATGCAGCTTGGTTCAAGCGCTCCAGCTACAACGACTCTGCTGATACTCGGCCCTTCTCAACGGTGTTGCCAACACATTTCTCCTCTCAAACCCCACTTCTGAGCAAGCCAGCCCAGAGCTTGGTCAGCCACAGCCCTGCGCCCCAGAACCACCCTGCAGCCAGCGCCGCGCTTGAGCAAAGCACCAACCCAGAAAGGCTCTTCATGTGCTAAAGGAAAGGGAAGACTTCTGGAAGCAGAGTCCTCTCCTGGCTGATCCCACTGTAACATCTACAGCAGGGAATAAAACCAGTGTTCGCCTCACTGGCAGCACCACCAAAACAACCCCATTCCCAGCTCAGGTGGAGCAGCCGCGCGGCTCCTGCCCCGTCCCGACGTTGTGCGAGAGAAGCAAGCAGCAGCCTGTCAGCCCAGAGCCTGACTCTGCATCTTCTTGCTTCTTTGGACTAGTAAATTACTCCTAGTTGAAAACTACTCGACTGGTTGAAGGTATTTGTACCGTTCCTGTAAACATGAGGAGAGCACACTGCTGCACGCGCACGGTAACCGCCTGCAATCAGGAACCTGAATTGGACTTTGCATTTCATCAGAGCTAGAACAAGCTCATCCACGTTACGGATCAGTAACACGAAATCAAACATCAAGCTCAACAAAATCAAGTTTTAGCACAAATATCAAATGTTCAAGTGGATTAATTAAAACTAAAAAGTACAGAGAAGAAATTCAGCCCAGAGCAAATTCAACATTCCCTTGAACAGGACAATTCTTGAGAGTGGAAACACAAAGCCCTTACTTCTATAGCTGCATCACAGGCAATTCTCACATAAGCTGCTCTTTTAAATCCAAAGAAGCATTTCTCTGATACACAAAATCATTAAGCTCACACGTTAGCATTTCAGTTAATGCCCAAGTGTACCGTTCTGATAGAACCATGGCAAAAAAACACCCCAAAAAACAAAGGGAAAGGACAGGTAAACCGTGATTGTATGAAATGTGATTGAATCTTGGCAATATTTTCAGGAGATTAAGATAACTTACAAGTGACTACAGCCCCTGGCCATGCTGCCATCCTGCACTTCAGAGCCAACCGAAATGAACCAGGAGATTTCTTCACCCTCTTACGAGCTGAGATTCCAGGAGGACTTCAGGGAAATCCTCTGCTCCCGAGGAGCAGGAACAGTCCAAAAGTACGGGCCAGCATGGAGGGACCAACAGATTCAAAGCTTTATTTTTCTTTCTTTTTTTAATAAAGTTAACAGTAAAACAAAGTTCACAAGCCTTCCCCTCCCCGAGCTGGTTTCCTCTTCACACAAAAGCACACAAAACAGAGGTCTCCAACCGAGAAATGAAACTGCTCTAAGTACAATGAGACATGATGAAGGAAGGAGTCTAAGTATGTCCGTGTTCAAGGTTAAAATAAGCAGATCAGGTATGTGTGGTTTGGTTTGGGGTTGGTTTTTTTTAGCCAAATTGGAAAAAGAAATTTCCAGGCCCAGAAGCTGAAAAAGAAAATTAAAGATATTAGCTCTTAGATACTTCTATGTGTAAAAGTCAAACGTTCTCCTCGAACAGCACTGGAAACTCAGCTGTCCCATCAAGCGATCCACATACTTACGTTTCCACAGCTGAGGACACTTCCACCTACCTTCAAAACTGAAGCCACCTGGCCCACCAAAGAAGGCCTTGAAGATGTTATTTGCATCAAAGTCTACAGGGAAGGAAAGGAAGTTGTGAGCTGAAGTGAAACAGCCCCTTACAGTTTGCACAGAACAGAAACTGTCACGTCACTGAGGGCCCACGAAGCATGTTACAAACAGACAGAAAGCTGAAAACAACCAGCTTGCTCTGAGCACTGACTAGTAGAAAACAGGCATTCAGAGCAGACCTGCCATTCAGATGCTTTTTAAGACTAAATTGGGCCACTTCATAGAATTATTACAGCTGGGAGGTTTGCTTTACAAGAGAAGGCAGACTCCAAATGCTCCCATCTTTCTAAAGGCTGCCAGGGGAGAACACCATAAGGAACACTTACCTCCCATGTTCAATCCATCCTCTTCTAGATCCTGGCCACTGTCATAACGAGCCTTCTTCTTGGGATCTGACAGGATGGTAAAGGCTTCTCCAACCTCCTTAAATTTCTTCTCCTCTTCCTTCTGTACTTCCGCACTTGCCCCACTGTGTCGGTCTAAGGATACAGAAACAAGCAGGAAAGCTTTTAGTTTCTGGTGTAAATGACACGGCTGCACATTCCCAGCCATGTCACATGTATTTCAGAGCTGTGGGATCAGAACTCCTATTTGTCCAGAAATTCCCCCTCTCATATTTATTCCTGCCTCTGAGCGAGAGTTGTGCAGGGCACATGCATGGAGCAAGGCATCAAAGCACCAACACGTGCTCTAGTAACAGGCTGTCTGTGGATACCTGGATGATGCATTAGTGCTCTTTTCCTGTAAGCTTTCTTGATCTCATCTTCAGAGGCATTTTTGTCCACCCCAAGGATTTTGTAGTAGTCTTTCCGTTTGCTCTTCTTCAGCTCCACCTGGGCGTTCTTTAGAAGCTGCTTGTGTTCTAGAAGGAAGCACAATGCCAAAGAAAAGCAACTTCAGTGTCAGGCACAACCTCCTGCTTTAAAAGGGGCTGAAGACCAGCATGTTGAGACAACCTGGGCTGAAGGATTCAAGTGCCACAAGTAACCAGCCCACTTGGAATTAGTCATGAATCCAGTTAAAGCCTCACTGCCTACTTAAGGTTGTTTCCAAACACAGGGAAATGTCTCAGTGCTACTAAACCAGTCCTAGACACAAGCACCAGGACTAAGGTTACTCTGTCTGTACCATTTCAGCTACTAAAAAAGCAAGATGACAGCTAAGAACAAGAACCACGACCAGATATTCTGAATCTGGGGCACTGCTTCAGCTACAGGGTAAATTATCTTCATACTGGAAGAGAAACCAGGTTCTGAACCGGGCATTTCAGAGTGCTTCTGAGAGCCTCCTCAGCCATGTCCTGCTGGGCCAAAAGGCTGCAAATCAGAGTATATTGTGGGGAAAAAAGGCAAATAAAAGCACCACCAACAAAAAAGACAGATAAGGGAAACTTATGCTCACAAAAAGAATGCTACTACACTCACCTTTTGTTTTTTCTGTCTGATAAACCTTTTCATAGTCTCTTACAGCATCTTCGTATTGTTCTGTGTCCATGTAACTGCGGAAAGAAACAACGGGTGGCCAAGGTGTACTTCACAGGGAATATCAAAAGGGGGTTCAGGTACAATCTGGCTGGATAGGAATTAAGGGAAAGATGTGCACAGGGCTGTAGAAAGAGCAGTCATCAGAGGAACCCCAAAGGGTCACTGCTCGACTGCCTGGGAGCCCAGACACCTGCTATTCGTGGGCAATCCTGGCACAGGAACCTGGAGGCTGGGCTCCAAGCAGAGCCTGCAGCCTCGTTTGGCAGCACAGGTTCTGCTGGACCAATCTGATCATCACTTCATCCAGCTGCAGGAACCAGCCAGCAGGATTCCAAGGGAGCTGGTGCAGAGCTGTCCAGTAGCAAGGCTGGTTAGAAGTGACCATGTTGGCACCTCAGAGGGGTGGGTGCCCGGCTCTTGGCATTTCAGCCTTACTCACATCTTAACCACTTACTGCCATTTAGCAATTACTGAGATGGAGCTTGAGGTTGTAAACTAACCTGAGTGCACAACTGGAAGGCTGCAGTAGCAGTTTCAGTTCATTTATAAGCCAGGCAGCTTTGCCACAAAGTGAGAAATAACGAGTGTTGAGGAAAGTAGCAAAGAAACCCATAGTCAGAACAGAGCTTTGATACTTCCCTGGTTGGTGCCAAGTTACAAAGGAGACACACAGACCTGAACTGCCTCTGTTCAACACACTCAGCCTCACTGCACGACACTGCAGTGTTATCCAGGGCTGGAACATGCACAGCCTCAGCTGATTTCTCCTGACTTCTCCAGGGCACCCCATTTCCAAATGGGCTTTGCTGGAAGTGGTGAGCAGCTCTGCCAGGGAAGAGCTCTCACTCACAGCAGCCCTTCTGAAAGAGGCTCTCTGGGACTGAAGATCTTAGGTTAGTCTATAAACACAGCAAGTGAAGCATTAGAACAAATCCTGCCTCAATAGAGCAATCAACAGGCAGCCCCAGATCCATGCAGGCAGGACAGGCTACACAGAGCTTCCCCTGCCTCCTCGCCAGCAGAAGGAAGAGGAATAAATTCCTGGCTCCTTATCTTTTATCCAGTTAAGCTCCAGATTTGTTACCCCTGTCACTGAGGGCTCTAAGGAGGAGGTTCCTACCCACAAACATGCTCAGCATGTCCATCACAAAGCTCTACTTACCACTGTGCTCTCCTCAAGTATGCTTTGATATACGTGTCATCCAGTTTCACTGCATTCGTGCAGTCATCTATTGCTTCTTCAAGTTTCCTAAGCTACAATGTCAGACAGAAGTTCAGTGAATCCCAACCAGAACAAATCCTGAATTTTAGGCAAATGAAAGGTGTAAAGAATGTTGGAAAACCTCACTCCCTTGTGTGTCTGTATCTAGGAAATTCTCCCCAACCCCCCCGAGAACACAGAGCTACTGTTCCCTAGGG